GTCTTTAATGGAGAACACTGTCATGCAAATTTGAGTGTCATCTGCAAAGGAAGACACAGTGCTGTGGCTTACATCCTTTTCTATGTCAGACATGAGCGTGAAGAACAGGATGGAAGCGAGTACTGTGCCTTGTGGAACAGAGCTTTTCACAGTAGCCGCCTCTGACTTTACTCTGTTTACTACTACTCTTTGTGTTCTATTTATAAGGAAATTATAGATCCATCTACCAACTTTTCCTATTATTCCTTTACCACGCATTTTGTGCGCTATTACACCATGGTCACACTTGTCAAAGGCTTTTTGCAAAGTTTGTGTATACTACATCTGCGTTTTGTCTTCTAGAGCAACCAGGACCTTGTCATAGTGGTCCAGTAGTTGGGACAGACAGGAGCGACCTGCTCTAACCCATGTTGTCCTGGGTTGTGTAACTGATGGGAATCTATGAGTAAAGATCTTGTTTCTTAGAACCCTTTCAAAGATTTTTATGATATAGGATGTTAGTGCTATCAGTCTGTAGTTCTTTGCTATTGCTTTACTGCCCCCTTTGTGGAGTGGGGCTATGTCTTGTTTTTAGCAGCTGTGGGACGACCTGTGTCCATGCTTACTCTCCATAGGATGTTAAAAGCACATGATAGAGGTTTCTTGCAGTTCTTGATGAGCACGGAGTTCCATGAGTCTGGACCTGGGACAGAGTGCATGGCCATATCTGGTTACAATCGTAATGAATTAAGTCACAAAAATATTACAATGTAGCTTGTATGTAGTTAAGTAAGTTTATTTAGGCACCGGTAAGTACAATTATCATACATAAAGCACCTAGGATAACCCAAAATAGTCAGACTAAGTGACTTATTTCCACTGGGGTCCTTAATTATTTATATTACCCGATGTTTTGTGATGACTTACCCTTCCATCCCGTCAAATAAATACCACCTAAGATATTGTGCTTACAGTATCCATAGTGGTGAGAATTGTGTGCATGACTGAGGTGGTGGAGCGGTCATGCAGGGTGGATGTGCTTGTCTTAGGTATAAACGGATGCCAGAAACGTTTGGAAGCCATGGCAGGATGGCTGGTTGTCCTTTGTCCATGACGACACCCTATGACCCGCACAAGTTCAGAGCTTAATTGTATTAGCATAATACGTTGTTCGTGGTGATAGACATTGTCTTTACCGTGTAACTGAAACCTTGTTTTTGTGCGATTTTCCTTCATGGGAGATACCTTGATGACAGCGAGGGGCTCTTGATACAAAGAATGAGACGACGTTCCTTCCTCTTTATGTCTGTTTTCTTTATTTATTTAGTTACCTCCCATTCCCCAGGGGGATTATCAAATTAGTCTTATATCTTCATTATACACGTGATACCCATTCCGTGGGTGGTAGTCAAAATATTAGGTACATAATGGGTCTAGGGACTAGGCTACAAACATTTAATAATTATAGTTACAGTAGTAATGGACTATTTACATATTTATATCTGGTAACAATCATAATGAGTTACTTATACAGATATGAATTAGGTGACAAAAATATTACTTAATGTTTTAGCAAGGTATGCTTGAAATTTAACAAGTTTAAGTGATTACGCGTTATTTACGATAGGCAAAGTCATTTTTTCCAGAATGGTTAGACGCTGTATGAACGAGTTAGTAGTCAGGAGTATTTCCAGGAAAAGAAGAGTATGTCTAATTCCCTGGATAAAGAGTCCTTCACCTGCATTAAAGAGTCCCCCCCCCTCTCAACATTTGTGTATCTATGTAAGACGAGCTTTCCTGAGACTTCATATACTCTCTTGCTTCATCTGGGACTGAAGGCGCAATTTATCCTCATCAAAACCCTCGTGATACGCGTGGATAAGACACAATTTGGGTTATGGCATTTTATTGTGAAGACGTTTCGCCCATCAGGGACTTTATCAATTCTGATGGGCGAAACTTCTTCACTATTAAATACCAGAACCCACATTGTGTGTCTTATTGATAATTGTTGGTTTACTCTACCATTGTATTACCCTTACGGAACCTTCCACACAGCAGCTCTTGGTGCTCAGATGTTGTGATGTTGCCAGGAACACTCCCCGGGTGCTCGCTACAAGCAACATCATCGTTGGTAAAATTACCTGCAATATGTACGTAAAAGGACACATATGCAGCTAATGTGATATTTTTATTGTGGCAACGTTTCGCTCTCCAGAAGCTTGACAAAACTCCTAGAGTGTCCTGTACCTAACATACCTGGAGAGAGTTCCGGGGGTCAACGCCCCCGCGGCCCGGTCTGTGACCAGGCCTCATGGTGGATCAGCGCCTGATCAACCAGGGTGTTACTGCTGGCTGCACGCAATCCAACGTACGAGCCACAGCCCGACTGGTCAGGTACCGACTGACCCTACATTCACCCTCCATCAAGGACCTCACCAAGAAGCACAGTCCTACATCCCTCCCACAGCAAACGTTTACATCATCCTATACGACCACTACCAAGAAGTGTGTACGAGAGACAGAAGTCTATCCTCCTGCATCAGGGACCTGAGCATCGTCTATGTTCTCCACAGGATCTCCATGGAACACCGTGGCCTGGTGGCTAAAACTCGCTTCACACGGCTAGGGTCTGCGTTAGATTCCCAGCACGCGTAGAAACATTGGGCATCTTTCTTTACACCGGTTGTCTATGTTCACCTATCAGTAAAATGGGTACCTGGGTGTTAGTCGACTGGTGTGGGTCGCATCCTGGGACAAGGACCTAATTTACCCAAAATGTTCAGCATAACAAGCAGCTTTCTATATAGTAGTATGTCACTGATGTCAGCTATGGTCTGTATACTTCGTAAGATAAGATAAGATAAGATTTTGTTCGGATTTTTAACCCCGGAGGGTTAGCCACCCAGGATAACCCAAGAAAGTCAGTGCGTCATCGAGGACTGTCTAACTTATTTCCAGGATGCGACCCACACCAGTCGACTAACACCCAGGTACCTATTTGCTGCTAGGTGAACAGGACAATAGGTGTAAGGAAACGTGTCGGAATTTCCACCCGCCGGGAATCGAACCCGGGCCCTCCGTGTGTGAAGCGGGAGTTTTAGCCACCAGACCACCGGGCCACCCCTACATGTACTGGTAGTACATGTACATGTACATGTACTGGTAGTAAATAAAGATATTATATTATTATTAACTGGAAAAGGGCATAACCCCTTCTTATCATAGAACCTCATTTGAGGAATCGAAAATTCCTAGAAGCCTCATTGATCGCTATCACCGTTACCTTGGATAAAAAATATGTAAGTTATAACCTTTCAAAAATACCGACACACCTGACACTCGATCATGTCAAGCCTCGTCTACCTCAATACACTGTCAGCTAGTGACCTCAGGGTCCACCTGATGTCATCTCCAGCCTCCAGTATTTCCTGAACAGATAGAGAGAACTGCATGTATATAAACAAGGTATAGGTTTGAAATGTTTTTATAGCTGCATTAATTTTTCAGGAATAAGGATGATACCTCAAAAATTTCATTAAAATCAGTGAATCAGATTTTATGAAACTCACTAAAATAATAATTATCTTTCAGTGTAATCAATTTCAAAACCGACCAGGTGATGTATTCTCCAGTTATCTCAACATGTATCTGGTATATTTGCACCTATACATTCTAAACTTAAAAGTATCATCTTAACAAATGCATCAGTGTTTAGAGAATAAAGGGAAAAATAGACAAACACTGAAAAGAACGTATTTTGTTTACCTAAAAAAATGTCAACGGAAATGGGTCAACAGACTTCTAGGTAACTGTGGATAATTTTAGATTTTCTTAAGTTCAGCATGTGTAAATTTGAATACAAGAATTGTGTAATGAAATGTGATGCTGATTTGACCCTTTAGAGAAATTCTGAGTGGGGGGGAGGAAGAACAGCTGCTGAGTGACGCGGATGGGGAGATTCCATTTGTAATTTGGGAGCACTGGTTGCTGTGGAAAATTCAGCTAATAATCCGGCATTTTCATTGCCAAATTAGGGTTTTCCGGCCTGAATTTGTAATAGGAACCTGTGTTAATGCCCCCTGCTGAAGAGTTGGGACAGGAAATTTACGGGAACTCAAGAATTACGTGGATGGTGGAAGATAAGGAATATGACCATCACTCACAGGGAAGTGCACCATTAGTCCTTTTATTTAGATCTCTAACTGGGCAGTGTAGGGTCTAGGTTTTTTTTTTTTTTTATTCGCCGGTATTCTCCCGGCCCGGGTCTTTTCCAAGCAGTGGTGACCCGGCCTTGGCTCCCTATCTGGGGAGTGTCTCGAGACTAAAGTCTCCCATGGGAGGCGGTACAGTACCTCCTCATCTTTGGGACCAAGTGTCCCCAGTCCTAGCCACATTTCCCGCCCTCACGGGGCTCGTAGGGAGAAGCTAGGCCTCTGGTCTGCCATCTACCCCGCCTCAAAGGGGCTCGTGGGGATGGCAGTCTTATGAGCTGCAGATGGTAGCAAGCTCAGGCCTCTCTTGACCTTAATTAGGGTCTAGGTGTCAGGCAGGTGTTGTGGTGTGATCCAGCTATAGTAATTAAATGGTAAGTGGTAATATAAATTTCCTTTGTGTACTCAGCAAACCTAATCATATACAGTCCACAACTTTACTTTACCAGAGCAGCTGGTTTTAATATTGTAATTATTAATTTAATGTCAGGTCTAGCTTTTTGTGTGAGTGATGAAGTTAAGTCCCAATTATCTCATCCAAATTACTTGCCTGTAATAATTCAGGTAATACCCAGTAAACCTCATGAAGGCAATTTGCTCACATAATTCACAGTAACCATTAGTATAAATATTTCAATGTCGTATTTCTAGGACAGGTTACAAGCAATGAATAGAATGGTGGAGATACGAAAGAATTATCAGTTGTTGTTAATATCATAAAAAAAAACCGCTAGCACAGAGAAATTCATATAACCACAGAAAAAAGAGAAATGCTATGAGGGGGGGGGGTTGGAACATGTTTCTCACCATCCTTCAGATCTTCTGCACTGACGAAGGTGACAACAACAGCTGAGAGCAACACACAGACACTTCTCTTCAAGTTATCCATGACTAAATCACCTTTTTCTGTGTCTCTGGCTTCTTGTTCTGCCTTCCTCGGCTGTCAGTGCTAAAATGGAGTTGAAGTTGTAGTTTTACCTGTCTTCAACACTCAAATTTGAATCTTAATCGGTGGATTATTACCATTTACGTAAGGAGGCAAAATTTTCTAGATCATTTAGTGTTAAGAGTGAAGGTTCGATCCTTCTAGCTGTTACTGGAGATTGTTACATTAATTGTGGAACACAATCACTCAGGTTCCTGACGTTCACATTAATGGCACTATATCGTTCTACCAGCATAAATATTTTACATTTACAAAATGATAATTTGAGGTCTGAAGAAGTTAATGGGTATTTCGACAAATGGCTCCTGACCTACAGCACCAGTGTGCGTCCTCACTCTTAGGATAAGACTGAGATACTGAAGCAGCGGTAAACCCCTCACCACCACTACCTAAAACACACTAACATGGCCCTCCCTGCCACTAACGTATCTGGGTTAAGGCGCTTCCTGAACATCCTCTCTTCATAACATTGTTACCAGATCATAAACTTGCGAAGGAAAAAACCCTTGTAGCGGGTTTTCGTTGTATGAACCATTCAAAACTAAACAGATGACTGCAAAGAGACTGAACAGTCCCTGGCTAACACCCAGTATCCTCAAATCCATAAATACAAAACACCTATACGAAAAACAGTACAGAATGGGCCACATAACCAGAGACCAAACAAAACGTTACTCGTCAGTCCTAACCAGCCTAATAAGAAGGGCTAAAAAATTGTATTATGAGAACAGATTATCCAACTTACGAGGTGACATAAAAAAGACCTGGAAAACCCTATCAGAAATACTAGGAACAAAAAAGATAACACGAAATAGCGAAACTGAATTAACAAAACCAGATGAACCCCAATTCCCACCTACTGAAACAGCAAACAGACTCAATGATTTCTTCTCCACTATAGGAAAAAACCTTGCCAATAAAATCCCAAGCTCAGATACCCCACCCAATGACTACCTCACTGGCAACTACCCGAACACACTGTTCCTAGCTCCGACTAACCCAACTGAAGTCTCCCTTATTATCAACAAACTAAAACACATGACAGGAGATTTAAATACCTTACCACCTATTATATACAAAAAAGTGTCACAGGTGCTATCACCAATTATTGCAACACTCTTTAACAAATCCATGAATCCTCTACCTTTCCTACAGTTCTCAAAATAGCAAGGGTCACCCCGATCCATAAGGGAGGAGACCACACAGACTTGAATAACTATAGGCCAATATCCAACTACACCCTCTCTCTAAAATCTTTGAAAAATTAATACATAAGCGTATCTATTCCTACCTCATCTCCCACAACATACTCAACCCCTGCCAATTTGGTTTCAGGCCTAATAAAAATACTAATGATGCTATTATCCACATGCTAGAACATATTTATACAGCAATAGAGAAAAAAGAAGTCCCACTGGGGATCTTCATTGACTTACGTAAAGCTTTCGATACAGTTGACCACGACTTGCTCCACGTAAAATTGTCACACTATGGTATTAGAGGGCACTCCCTCAACTACCTCAAGTCTTACCTCAGCAACAGAAGCCAATATGTGTACATAAATGGGGCAAACTCTTCCGCACAGCCAATTCCAGTTGGTGTCCCACAGGGAAGCGTCCTAGGCCCTCTTCTCTTTATCATATACATAAATGACCTACCAAATGCATCGCAACTACTCAAACCCACACTATTTGCAGATGACACTACATACGTCTACTCTCACCCGAGCCCAGTCATGCTAGCCAATACTGTAAATACCGAATTACAGAAAATATCAACCTGGATGAGGACCAACAAACTTACTCTAAACATTGACAAAACCTACTACATTCATTTTGGTAACAGAGCTGCAAATGTGTCTCTTAACATAATGATGACACTCTTCAGGTCACTTGTTCTATCTAGGCTGGAATATTGCTGCACACTAACAGCACCTTTCAAGGCAGGTGAAATTGCCGACCTAGAAAATGTACAGAGAACTTTCACGGCGCGCATAACGGAGATAAAACACCTCAATTATTGGGAGCGCTTGAGGTTCCTAAACCTGTATTCCCTGGAACGCAGGAGGGAGAGATACATGATTATATACACCTGGAAAATCCTAGAGGGACTAGTACCGAACTTCACCAAAACATCACACAAAGAAAAACTTAGCAACGATGCACCATCCCCCCAATAAAAGCGGGGGTGTCACTAGCACTTTAAGAGCCCATACATTAATTCGGGGCCCCGAGACTGTTTAATGCCTCCCCGCCACATAAGGGGGGTTACCAAAAGACCCCGGCATCTTTCAAACTGGCTTGGACAAGCACCCAAAATCAGTTCCGGACAGCCGGGCTGTGGCTCGTACGTTTTTGCGTGGCCACAGCAAAAACCCTGGTTTTATCAGGCCCTGATCCCCCAGGGGGCCCGTCACGACCGGGCGCGGGGCGTTGACCCCCCCCAACTCCTCCAGGTAAATCCCGGTAAATAAATGGGTTTACCTATCACAAAAAAATACAGAGGGGGAAAAATTTCCCAGCTCCACCCTTAAATAGACCAAATTTTAAACATATACAAAAATTCCAAAAAAAATTCCAAGACCGTAGGCATACACGAAGATACGGTACTATGTTCCACAGCAGCCCTCCTGGCCCTAAAACACCATTAATTTTACCCCCACTCACCTAAAATTTGTCATGGGGCTCAAAAATAATAACCATTTAGACCCCTAAATTTCCCAACAAAAGGCGCAGTCAAATGATAAAAAAATTCCCCCCACAGACAGCACACCCACCAAAATTCAAAACACTAAACCCACTCACAATACAAAAAACCATTTTATACTGCACCTATTTCATACATAAACACTTAACCGACAAAACCCTCCCCTCAAACATCCCCTTCCAAACCCCAACAGAAAAAACATGGCCATAACACAAGACACAGATCACTCTTTTATGTTCCTCGTGTCCATCTTCAAATTTAATTCAAAAT